TAAGATAGAATAATAGTATGTGAATTTCATTTTTGAAGGCTAAAAGTTGGTTGTAAATTGAGATTAAGCGCAATTCCGATTATTTCGTTATTTGAGTTTAAATTTGTTTAAATAATTATTTTGTTTAGGAATTATATGTAGTGTTTGTGAGTTCATCTCGTTTTTTTTCGATCATGCGATAAGAGCGTTATCGCTGCGTGGGCTAATTAGTTTCAAGAAAAGCACGTGTTATTGCCGAGTTGAGCAGATGCTAAGTCTTTCTTTTGTTAAGGAAAGAGACACGGAAGTGAGAAAGGGAAAATGTATTAAATGAACAAACCCGACGTTAATACGTTAATCGCCATCACACATTAAAAAAAAAATTTCATATGCGTTTTCTTAGTCACAAAAAGGGACAACTTTGCCCCCATTTAACCCCTACACTGTATCTCTCGCCGTTACGGAGATCCCAGTGGTGAGTCACGAATTTGAACCACCTTATACAGGGTGACTTACGGGAGTGTTTTTGAAATAAATAGTGCATGCCTTCGGTAAGTGGTGGGGCGACGGACGTTAGGTCATTCACTCCATTGCAGCTTACCATTTCAGTAGCAATGGAGCAGTGGACGACGGAGCATGTTTCCTGGAAAGCTGATTTCACGTTTTGGTGACGTACCGTGGCCGCCAAGGTCACCGGACTTGTCCTACTGTGATTACTTCTTGTGGGGGTATTTGAAAGAACGTGTGTATGCTCACAAACCCCGTAATTTATTAGACTTAAAAGACGCAATTACAGAAGAGATGAATTTGATTGATCAAGACATGTTGACCCGAGTTTCCAATTTTCAACAGAGGCTGGAAACCTGTATTGAAGCAGATGGGCACCACATGACTGATGTAATTTTTAAAAAGTAACTATTTCATGAAATGGTATGTAATAATCTTTATTTGTGTAACAATAAAATAATAGTATCTTGTAAATTAATTGTGTACTGCTCATTTCAAAAACATCCGTTTCCCGTAAGTCACCCTGTACAGGTGGCTAAGTGCAGTGAAGTGCGCGTCTTACCAAATGTGATCTCACGATCTCACACGAGAACTTTGATAATTTTTATCGTTATTTATTCTCAGCTTTTTCATAGGAACTACTTTACGTTTCATTTTCGAATTTATTTCGTGATACTATCAGATAAATGCACTAAAAGGAATGGAATTAATTTTTATAACCCAACTGTAATAAGTGGCAACACCGCATAAATAAGGGGCGGAGTGATCCTTTGGTGGACAGTTCTTGAATAATTTTCATGTCGGTTCAATGTCTTTCACGCCAAACTGGCGCTTCTGTTCTTCTCTAAGTACAAGTTCGTATCAAATTCCTCTCATGTTTGATTTATTTCACTGTTTCCTCATTTTGATGTAAATTTTTTCTTCAAGTTCCTCTCCAAGTTCCCCTCGAACTTGTATCGTAAGCCGGTGTCAATATTCTTGAGTTACTCAATGCCCAGCGTTCCTCAAGTTCAAGTTCCACATATTCATATAAAACCTTGCCATCAGCTGTATATACCCTCATTGTCATTGGGGATAATCCACATTGCACTCACTTCCTGCAGCTGCACGAGGTGCATGGTTTGGTTTTCAAAACTTCAGTCTAAAAATGTAGCCTTGACGATATACAACGGCCAATCGGATTTGAAAATTTCATCCGCACTAGAGTCACTCTTCATCGATCCTTTGATCTTGCTTCTTATGCTCTTACACGAATTTCCCAAATGCAAATCGCTCGTTTTTAAAAAAACACACAGAGACTATCGTTAGTGCTACGTTAGTTATGTTTGGTGGTTGAATATAATGTCATTGAATTTCGAGGTTTTGTTCGCCTTGACGTCTATACCTGGATGCGTACCCAGATAGCATTGAATATTTCCGTAATATACTAGGAATATTCAAAAAGGTATATTTGAACATGTATTAAATATACATGAAATATATCGTACCTTGTAAGATTTACTAGGGATATGCAAATGGGAATATCTCAGATATTCTGAGAGTAAACTTAAGAGAATATTCTCCATTTATTCTGAAAATTTTTAGAACATAATGTATATCTCTTGGAATATTCTGAGAATAAACTTACAGGCTATTCTCAGTGTATTCTGAATATTCTGAACAGAAACTTTATTATACTTAGGTGGTCAAATATGCACTTGTAATGTAAAAGGGGCTTATATGAAGTTTAGAGGTCTCATCTGCTAAACTTCGGAGAACTTTATTTAGATGTCGCCACTGCAAAATTTTCCATTTAGTACGACATTATGTAATGTATACCACCTCCATGATTAATAAGGGAATATGTGATGTTTCGTTTTTAAAATAACCTTATACTTATGGCATGCCGGTAAGTTAAAGATATGTGAAGATTGTATTCTGCTGATGGTCTTGTGGATTGTATTATATACCTACTACATACTTATTTTCATAACCTTATGAATGTCCTGTGAATATTCATACTTCCAAATTACATATGTAGAGTAGGGATGGGTGAAGGGAGCATGTTCTAAGAATATTGAGAAGAAACGAATATCGTTGTTTGAAAATAATTATAGTTACCGTTTGATATTGATACGTGATTGTGACAAAACGAATATTCCCCGTACATCCAGGGAATTTTGTAACAGCATATTAAATACCGAAAAATCAAGGAATATATTAATAGTGTGTTCTTAGTATATTCATTGCTGAATATTCTTGGAATATGCCAGCCGGACGTATATATTCATGGCACATTCTATGGATATTTGGAATATTTACATACCTTCAAGCATGTTAAAAGAATATTCTAAGAATATCCAATGTTATCTGGGTATGGTTCCGCGATTCTATGGTTCACATTATCTAGGAGTGTATGGATCGAACTGTATAAAAATGTTGAATATCAATGTCAACACTGTTTCTTACATCAATGCATTGACTTTGGTTAAGATTGAATTAGTCTTGAAGAGACGAAACTGACAAATGACCATATTCCGAATATTTATTTTTTCGATTTTCTTGATAATATAAAACGTTAAACTCGCAATAATCGAGCACTAACGATAGTATGTAAGTTTTTTTTTAAAAAAACGAGTCATAAATAGGGTTAACTTGACACAATATTTTAGTTTTTTTGGCTTTTCCTGGAAAGATGAAATGCTGGAATCGCAATTTTCGAGCACTAACACCGTGTGTGTTTATTATTTCGATAAGTAAAATTGAGTGTGAAGTTGGTTCCGCCCCGGTTTTTTATTTCTCTTATGTTATGTAACAGCACTAACGATAGGCTTCCAACACTTAACGTTGAACTTTCTGTCGACACATTTTGTCAAATTATTTCATGTGGGCGGGGCCAATTTCACATGGGTGAATATCGCGGCGGTCGTGGTATTTATTTTGATTAAAAAATGCTTTTTTGATCGAGCCTTCTATTATGAGATGATATCGAGAAAAGATTATGAAAAATTTCAACCGTAGTTCTACCACATACGAAGAGAACCAGATCGACTATCGAAGCCCATTTCATTGACGTATTAATTTTGATAAACGACCTTACATCGGACGAAGTTGCTTAAAAATCGCTCAAATTCGCCATTACTAAACGAATTTATTGACAAACATCTTTTCATTTCGTATAAGTGATTCGTTAGGATGTGATCGCGACGAATTTATTTTTTTAGAACATATAGTACTATCCAAAATTCGATATTGCAAACATAAACACAATTTTCTTGGAGGCCTCGAGGGGGAAAAAAGCTTAAGTGCACGCATTAAAACAATAATGGTAATCTGTCCACTTGTATCAAAATTATTGGGTTTGCGCGCTAATGGTGTAATATTTATTGTCGAACTCGCTACACATTAGCGCAAAAAAGGGGAGTTTTAAATTTCCAGCTAGATAAGACGAAGTAATGTACACAGTCTACTTTTTGTGGAAGATTTTTCGCGGGGTGGTCGAGACAGAGTGCTAAAAGAGGTTGAAGAAAAGTGCAATCCAATGTAACTGTGGCATCGAGTGGCTCCTGCCCCGTCTAGAGTTGGCCCTTACGACTCGACGCGTCTGGTCCAGGACCGTAATAAATAAATCTTAACGCCGTTTTATTTTAATTATTCGTTTGCGACTGGCCGTATCTATTTTATACGCGGGATGAAGGAGAGAAGGTCAGCTTGTAATACATAAATTTGAGAAAAGTAAGAGGGCTCTTTATTTTTATTAAATCCACACGCGATCGAGTGTGTTCGGATTGCGTACAGGAAAAAGGAAATCGTTGAACTTGTTACTATTATTGTATTGATTTTGGCGAAGTCGGAAGCGATGTGATGAACGTCAGTCAACGTCATTTGGATTATATCCTTTACTTATGTATTGTGCACTTACCTCTCAGTGGTCGTTCCATTTCATGTAGTCCCATATCAATTAAAATCTCCGATTTCGTTACAGTTATTTATAAGTCTGACCATTCGTGCAATTAAAATATTTTAAAAATTTATTCCTTTAACCTTGTATTTTGTCACATCGTCCGTGTAGCCAGACTCATAAATAATTGTGCATTCACCTCGTGTCGTTTTATACTGTAAATCCTACCTCATTAGTATTTACGTTACGGAAGGAAAACCTTTTGCATTTTACATTCTACCTAACATCTATTAATCCTATATATCTAGAGAAAAGTTCACTGATGAAACTTTCTATCCATCTTTTTAACTTCGTCCTTTTGTAATAAACATGGAGGGATTTTGCAATTTTAATGCATTAGTTTTTCAGACTTTCTTTCCACACGTTTTCCAGTGTGGAGTATGTCCCCATTGAGCCACTATTTCTTTGCTAAGCAATTACGCCTTTGTTTGGTGGAAAACAATGCGTTCTGCTCGGTACATGTCAATTAGATTAAATACATTAGGTTATAAAACATCGAGCGTGGCGCATTAAAAACAAAACAGAACTTATTTGTGGATAGAGGAGTTCTCGAGAAACGTCCTACACGCCCCCAATTTACATTCGATGAAAAAACCTTTTGCGATAAACTTTCCATCTTTGATCTAATTTGAAATTGCGTGGTAACTCGTGTCCTGAGACTTTCTGATTTGAGGGTACTGTCAGAACATTTCTTCGGATTTCCAAATTATTTTTATAACATTGGAAAGGTTTATGTTTGCGTATATGGATACAAAATGAAGAGTTTCGTTCAAGTCCAAAAGACAACGGTCTGACATCAAGTGACGATTGTACCGTACACGACCGTGATCGGTACTTACTTAATAGTGTTCAATTGATTTGTTAATTCTAATTAAAATTCTCGCACATCTCCTTTGATTATTATTCAGAAGGGTGGCCTGAGGAAATCCGATTGAATAAGAGTTGTTTGTGTTTTACATAATATGCCGTTATACCGGTTATCATTTCCAATGTCTCTGATGGCTGTATGTATAGATTGGGAAACCTGTGAATTTATTCAGATTCGCCAGACTCTTCAAATATTTTGGGTTCCTCGGATACTTCCCTCGCTTATTCTAATGTTTCCCGATTCAGACCGTTTCTTTTCTTTGGTTGGTCAGATTCCAAAGATTTTTGATTCTTTTTGACTTCTTCCATCTCTTATTTTCAGATTCTTTCAGTTGCTAATTTTCCAGAGATCCTTTATGTTAAGGAACAAGGAATAAGAATACTATATAATCTTAAATAATTTTTTAAATAAATTTGGTTTGCATTGTCTATATTTTGCAGAGTTGCACTCAGACCCAACATCTGGCAAGAGTTTGTGAGCGAATCTTTTTTAATCCACTTTTCTATCAAAGTCAGTACGTATTCGGATATATTTGAATCCATTCAAAAATAATTGGCATAATCTGAAGAATAATAATCACAAATGCGTGAATTCGTAACTTTTCAAGTACCACGGTTTCATCCAGTAGTGCCTATCTTTTTTCTCATCTTCAGATATCTTTCTTTTGTTTGAAATCCTTTGGCTTCGAAAAGTAAATCAAAATTAATCATTCCGCGCCTGTATTTGTCCGCAAAGTTTATACGAACCATGTGCGAACGTGGAAGTGTGTTTCAACATTGTGTTCCAAGTTCAAAGCGTCGATGAAATGAATGCACGTGGAAGGCCTGCTTTAATAAACGGGCGTGCAACAACGTCCGTCTGTGCTCTCACATGAATGTTGTGTAACTCCGTCATCAACATCTGCCTCAAAATATTTTGAAATCATCTCCGTCTGTGCCTTTAGAAAAGTAAATCGAAAGATGTGTAAAATATGCGATATGCTTACCTTTACTAGAAGAATCTTTGGTGCATGTCTTAAAGCAAGTCTCTACGGCTATGTCTGGCTTCAAATCACACATATAGTTGCATGTGCGTGCATGTCTTAAGACAAGCTCTGTTGGGGCCATTGGGGGTTTTATTTCGCAACATTTGATCTTATTTGACTTATCAGGAGCCCTAGAACTACCGATGATATTATATATCTCTTCAGTCAGAACTTAAAAAAAGTTCACTTTTGAATTGGTCGATTGAAATGCATAAATAAGAATACTTCCCGGCAAATAATACGTAGGTAGATAGTAATGAGATTTTTCAGTAATATAAGGAAACCGGAAACGCATATCTTAAGACTAAAATTACACTTTCCCATGGCTTGAGAACTAAGTTGTCACATCATTTGCACTCACTAGAGGTAATAAGACTCCGTATATAAACTCTTGACGGTATTAACGCCCACAAATGGAAATGTAACTTGATTATCTCCTGGGAGAACTCGCGTGGAAAGCTACAGAAAAATTAGGAAGGTCAATGATTAGTGTTACATGCGTGACCTAAATGCAAAAATGAAAATTCAATTAGAAAAGGGCACGAGTATCAATTAATATCAACCGCTCACAAGGTTTGTTTGTAAACACGGCGACAGTCTTAATAAATTGCGCAGTTGATCAATAAGTCGTATATGACGAATGCAATTTACCAGTGTAACGTTCGCAAAACAAACAGAACTTTGCACCGAGCCACGCGTTCGCAATTCATAGAAATTTTCGTTCGTACCTACGTAAAACTGAAATTATGCACATTTTGAGTTTTACACACGCGTACCATAAATACAAAAATAACGTGCGATTTATATATAAATTTCCTTTATTTCGCATTACTGCGCAACTTTCCCTGTGAGATATTTTTGGTGCATACCTGACTGTATCCTAAATTTTTGCATTGCCTCTTAATTAACAATATTGTGAAATTTCCGGTCGCACTTTCTGGGTTCCGTTTTTCCTCCTGAGAAAGAAGAAAGGGTCGATTAGTCGGATATCGAATACAGAATAAACAAATTTAAAACTATCAATTCATTATTACGCATTGTGTTCCACAAGTTCTGTGGAAACGCGACACCTAGCGGTCGAGCGCAGGTGGCTGAAAATGGGCAAAAAGGTCAGGGAAAAAAACAACAATTTGTATCTGCCGCGACTATTACGTTAACATCGAAATACGATACTTAAACCACGTCGCAGCCTCTCAGGTTACCATCGACAACAGTAGCCGTTATTCTTGAAGACTTAGAAATTACCTGCAATTAGTCGGATTACAACAATTTGCGTGCAACAGTATCGGAACGCGTCTTGTCGGTGCCATTCTCATGTTTTCTCCTTAGAAAGTCTACCACCCAATAACCTCCGCAATCAAAATAAAACCGTCAAACTTAATTTAGTTGAAAAATTAAGGGAAATTTATTGCGACTCGGACGAGTAAGTAATGATGTGATTTGAAAGATTATATTCTTCTGATTAGTTTTCTTGTATCCTATATCATTCTATACTATTAAATGAACTCATCCACATCGCAATTTGCAAACTTTTTATTATTTATTATCGAAGTTGGGCTCGTAGACTAGCAAATTTTCTCAAGCACTATAATCTCACCAGGATTAAGTTTGATCTTACTTTCTTTCCCTTAGATCAACTGATTCCTCTCACCGTTATTTTATTTCTATTATAACCCAATATAGGCACGCTCTCGGAAATATTTTTTGGCAACTCAATCTACCAATTACATTCTTGTACCCATTGAACTATTTGTATACAGGGTGAGTGTCGAAGTTATAAAGGGGGGAACCAAATCATTTTTTCTCTTCTTTGGGAGCCATGTATCCGAAAGTAAGAAGTTTTTACCCAGTAGCTGAGGTGGTAATATTCAAACCACCAGAAACTAGGTATAGTTAAGTATGATTAATATCAAAATCCAATTTTTAAAAATTAAAAAAAAAATGGTATTACTTGAGGCAATCGAGACAGTTTTCGAAACTCCATGGAATATACTAATTTTGAGCGCGAAATACGAATCTGACAAAACAAATACAAAAATAGCGTCGAACCGTTAAGTAAAGCAACATAGTAAATCTGCGCAGTTATTTGTTTTTGAAGGCTTGAAACTCGCTTTATGATGGCTCTCTCAAAGTCGGCTTTGTAGTACGTCGTATATGGCCATTGAATAAAAACACTATAAGAAGCCTAACGCTTATGGAAGAAAGCGCGACAAATCCCCTTGCACCCGCATTGGTTGTGACCACCGAACTCTCTTTGCGGTAAATAGGAGGAAAGCAAATTCTCATTCTTCTCAGTTCAAGAATCGACACTATTGACAGTGTTCCCATTATATTCTCAGTTCAATCTCTGTCGCGCTTTATTTCCACGGGGTTAGGCTTCTTATAGTGTTTTTATTCAATGATATGGCGTAGTCATTTTGTAAAATTTTTCTAGGGTTCTCTTCCCCTTCGATAAATTGTATCCCTTAGCGATAGAACAAAAGTTGGAAGCTATCCGGCAATTTCCGGGGAAATGAAAAATATGTCTGATATGTATTCTCGCACTATTAGAATGATATGGGCGGGTGCATCATCGTGTTGTAACCATAAATTTGATGATTTCTCCGAAATGAAACGTTGTAAGTATTGTAAATCTCTTAACGCTGTCTGTTAAAAAAAAACGATATCCTCAGATTTCGGTTTTTCTGACATATCTTCGGAAGTAATTGGAATTTTCTGGTTTTCTTTAAAATATTGCGCATCTTTTCTCTAATTTTACCATCACCGTATCTTCTACGATTTCGGAGATCCCCATGATAGACATCTTTATCTAGGACACTGTGTATAGGTATGCTATATACAGTCCGTGTCAAATGAAGTCGGCACTATTGCTAATTAAATTCTCTAGAAAAGTTTTTATTGCACTGTAGGCAAAATACTTCAAATAACAAACATTTTTCAATTATTTTATTATTTCAAATGTAAACAAATAACGCCATTTTATGATTTTTATGGATAACTACATCGAAATAAAAATAAGTAATTGAAAGATCTTGGTTATTTGAAGTATTTTCGCTATGGCGCATTAAGAATTTTTGTAGATAATTTCATAAGCTGACATATGATGTAATAATATACAGGGTGTTCCCATGTAAAAGTTAAATTTTTGTTATTATCTGCAAAATGCGATGTTGTTTTGTTTTTTTATAATTACGGATTTGGATTGAGTAGAAAAAATACGTAATTTTGGTAACTTAACCGTCTTTCCAAACCCACTACTAATAAAGTTAGCAATAGTGCCGAGTTAATATGAAACATACTGTATACTACACGAGAGGTCTTTCAACAGTTTCCCAGTGAATCGAGATAGTTCTTCAGTTTTCATACAATTGTACAAATGATCTTTGAGTAATAAATATATGAATATGCACATTATCTAAAAAAAAACCAGTAAGATGCATACAAATAGATCCTATGTTTACTGGTGTTTTTTAAGGGATTATCAATAGCAGCATTTGATTAATTTGTGTCTAACCGCCCATAAATAGGATCTATCCATTCATATTGCATATATTATATTATATATTATAATATTCAGTTCTTCACAAAAAAATACGCAATAGTTATTACTGGCTGGTTATTCCTAACTTCCCACGGGTAATCATATTGGCAACGGATTATTCGCGATTCAGATCTAAAGACGCTGATGTAATTAACAAATGGCGTGTATTGGTGGGAGCGATTTGAAAACATTGGATTAATTTAGAAGGTTTTTAAGTGAAATTGTACTAATTTGAAAGTGAATTGAAATTTATCCTGCCGTTTTTGAGACTTGAAAATATAATCCTTTAATCCCATCCTACTTGAAAGGCCTTCTTGACTTGACTGTCTTGAATTAGCTTAACCGCTTCTAATTACAAATAAAGTTCACAACTTATCATTCGATTTCTAGCGCACTCGTACAACTTCACAACAACTCACCGAAATTCTCTTACGTCGATTACGGTTTAAATCGGCATAATTACACTTGAACACAAAATAAACAATTGGTATTTTTCGATGTGCCGCGCTTTAATAAATCACGATGTAAGTTTTTACAATTTGTGGCATAATAATAATAATAATAATAATAATATAATTCGTGTTGCTATACATATTGTACTTACACATGTCAAGGTTGTACTGGAGTGAAGTTAAAACAGGTTACAATTCACATTAAAGTTTACAATTTAAAAACTCATCGTAAGAATAAAAGGAGTGAGATATCAACAGTTGCTTGATGACTAGTTTAAATTGGTGTAGTGGTAAAGACCGTATTTTTGGGGGCAGTTTATTATAAAATTTGTGAGACAAATAGTTTGGGCCATTTTGTGATAACTTTAACCTAAAATGATCTGTTATGAGGTTATTGTTGTCTCTTGTTTCATAATGGTGTAGATCTTTATGTTTTGTATACTGAGCTATGTTTTTTTTATATGTATTAGACATTGGTAAATAAATTGACAAGGTAATGTCAGAATTCTTAATTTTATAAAACTGTCTTTGCATTCTTCGCGATACCCTATGTTGGCAATTGTTCTTATAGCTTTCCTCTGCAATCGGAAAATTCTATACCTAAGTGCACTTGACATCCTTCAATGTGAATATGCCGCTTCAGATTTGCTAATCGTAAGTACACTGTTCACAAATTAAATGTTTGAGAAGGTTGTGTGTATTAATATGTGACACTTTAAATGAACGCTTAATTACACTGATACCAGTGATAGAAAATTATTCAGAGCGGAGTGTGTCAAAGGATGACGTATATATCTCCTATTGTTTATTGTGTAATTGCACTGTTCACAATTAAAGATTTTGTAAATATTATGCGTTACACGACGATTTCTTAATTATCCGTATTGTTGGTTGCATAAGTGCACTGATCATATTTAAAATTCTCGAAAATAACGTGATCAATTTTGAGGGATGATGTCCCTGATTGTTCCCAAAATCAGGTAGTGTGTAATTATTTTAATTACTTATTATTACTTTAATTACCGGTAATTAACGTGATAAAATGAACGTTTTAAAATATCCTTGCTCTTTAAGGTACAATTACATTGATTGTAAATGAAGTTGTTACAAGTGTATTTACTTTTACAGCCATAAAAACTACAATATTGATTACTTTTGTTCATCGTAAATAAACAAAATGGCGGTCTTATTCCACCCAAAAGTAATTACAATGAGCTGCTACTAGAGGTGTCACTGGATCGCAAGCAAGAGTCGTACATTACTTCACAGACAGTATGACTTATTACTCCTAATTCTGTGACGAACTTTAGGTTTTAAGGTAAGCTCTATTGTCTCGTCTATTGCAATTCGTAAAAAATAGGAATTCTTACGATAAGATGCTACATAGGCCCAACATTAGGATATTTTTACCATTGTTTTTGTGTTATTTCATGCAGGCAGTAATCTTTGCATTAATTTATTATTTTTTTGTGTTCTGTATACAACATTTTGTTTTTTATAATTTTCAATCTTTGTTTTGAAATTGACATGAATTAATTTCAATGCGTCATTTTTGGTATAATGTTTGCTCAATTTATGATTATGTTTTGATTACATGGTTTGGCCCGAAGTTAAATTTATATATTTGGTCATTGGTTTAAAATTGTTAATGAAGAAAGAGTTGCGTTAGGTCAAGGTTGTTGGCAAATTGCACTTGGCATTGAAGTAATTAATTTATACTAATATTTTGCGCCGACATGTTCCCTTGTTTTGCTGGAATGTTAATCATCCATTTTTGAACCGACTAATAATGAATATTTAAATTTAGCAGAATGACTTGTTTCGAATATGTACCTATTTGATTTCGAGAATCTC